CATAACATGCTCCTCTCTACTTCCCAGTGGAAATGTCATAAATGATGATCCTGTCCTAACTCTGGGCACATGTCAGTATTTGTGTCACTGTGGGAAAGACAGGTCTAAATATATTTATGGTAGACAGCATCTCTTTGTTCAAAAAGTTGTTTTTTTTTTTCAAATAACCGATTAGAAGACTCTCCATTTCAGAATTTTTCAAAAATGGTAAGACAATTTCTATTTGCCTGTCTCCCATCTGAGCTCCTAATTTGGAAATGTGAGGGCTTAAAAGCCCACTTCGTTTGTGATTATTTATACACATTCTTTCGTTTTCTAATGGGCCTTTGTCTTGTCGTAAGTGTTCTTCCCACTATTAAAATGTAGTAAACCCAGAAGATCAAGACAATTAAGGTTAAAAAATGTCAACACTTGTTTTTTACAATGGAAGTTGAGTCAGAAAATATTGACACTCCCAAAATTGCCCAGAGTGGCTATCCTACACAGACAAATGTAATAACAAATGAAATAACAAAAAAATGACAGCTAACTCACCTCTATGAAACTAGTCATGTCTTTGGCTAAGTCTCTTTAAAAGAAAAAATCAAGCCACTCCCCTTCTCACAGGTATATCTACTGCTGACTTTGTAAACAACTTCCAAAGACATCTATCTACATAATGCCAATCAGCACAAGTGACCTTCCCAGTGGGGTATCAGCTCCCATTGTGCCTTTATGTTAAAAGGCTCTTCAAGAATGGAGTAGCCTTAACTTTTAAATACTAACATCTGACATCAAATGAACTTCAGAGAGACACCACAACATGCTGCCATGTTCAAAAGTACTTGTCTCAGTGTCTGTGCATGGCAGGTACCCAAACAAGGCTGGTATCTTCTGTTCTCTCCAAAAGACACTCCCAGTTGTAAAAGATATTATTTTCTCTTTTACAACTAAAATGAACATCTTAGAGAACTTTGTATATTTATCCTTAACTCTGTTTTGAGAAAAATAAAATAAAAGCAAGTAGAAGTCAAATAACTATATCGAATAAGAAGCAGAGGAGAGGAGGGGAAAAGAGTGGAATGGAGTTTAAGAATGGGAGAGGAGAAAGAAGAGGGGAGGGGTATTGTGAACTGAACAGGTTTGCTATTTCCCCAAACACATTCATTCCAATAAGATAATAAAACAGGAAAACATTTTCATTTTCTTTTCTGACAGCTGGGAGCATAAATGGTTGCAGCAATAATATCAGAAATTGTTGGACATTTTGAGCATTCTTGCTAGTGAAAAGCCAGCATTACAGCCAACTTGAAATACTTAATGGCCCCAAGGTGCCCTAGAAATTTTGTTTTTCTGATGCATGAATGTCAGCTGCAGGACGAAAGTGATGTATATTGTCTGGTGGGCAGCATGCTGGCCAGACACCAAATTTAGAGTGTCTCCCTGTACTCTGGGTTCCAGCTCAACTGTCCTTTACAGCCATTACTACCCCACAAACATGAATTTCCTCCAAAGCAAATCAAAACTGGGAGTACTATTTAAGATCCATCAACTCCCTACCCCCCAATCCCCACAAAAAAAAAAAAAAAAACTCAGTTCTGTCTTGTCACCTCTACAAATGCTTCAAGAAGCTGGTCTGATTCCAAGACAAGTTGAAGATAGCTGAATACCAAGGAAGTGGATTATTTCCAGTCCAATCTAGATAGGGCCTGTGAGGGGAGTCTAGAAAGCTCCAAGAATAAGAGTATTCAGGCCTCATAATCTTATTCACATTTAAGTAAGATGTCCTTAAATACATAAAATAGCCACTCTAATTTAATCATGTGCTTATGAAAAGGGCAACATTATAAATTGAAGAATTGGTAAGTCAAATATTTCACTCATAGGAATTTTTAAAATACATCTGACATCAAATGAACTCCAGAGAGACACTTCACATTAGCCAAAAGGTACTGGCAAACATCTGAGACGTAGCTGCAGGTACCAATCCTGATCTGAGGGAGCATTACTACGGCCTGAAGCCTTCATTATGATGCCATTTGCTCTGCCTGCATGATCAGAGTTTTATCGGCTATGCTTTTTTTTTTTTTTCAATAAAATCTCCAGGGACTTCTCCATGGAAAGAAGATTCCCTGGAATTTTTACAATATTTGATGAAATTTCTAAAATCTATATGAGGATAATCACGATGGAGAGAGACATCAGACAAATAAGAAATCCATACCCCCCATATTTTCCAATTACTCCACTTTGCTAACCATTCACTGTTTCCTGTCTCTCTAGAGCGTCTAGAAGAATCATTAATAGCCTATGAAGATAAAATGGAAACAACACATATCCATCTTCAGTGTGGATGACAATCTTGGGCAGTAAATAAACAAGAGGTGGCATGGGGGAAGGGAGAAGAAGTGAGAATACCATGCATGTTGCTACTTCAGAACATGCTTTCAATAACCATGCTTCAACGGTGACTCAGAAGTAGAAAATTGGCATGAGTCAATAAAACAACAATTTTTCCACCTATTCTTTCTGCTATTATTGAGCAATGTGCTCTTGAAACTGAAGTTCTTTTCTAAGCCTTTGATTGACTTTCTGATTGATAAACATTATAATATAGTGCCTATTCTTTTATAAAGCTGAAGCAGTCAAAACATCTTAATATATATATTTGACCTATGCCCCTCTCCAATTTGTTCTTCATATTAAAATTTGCCATCTACTAAGGAGATATTAAATGAAGTCTATATTAAATATAAGAAACAGGTGCAACAGTCAAATGAAATTCATACTGTCATGATGTATGTATGCACAAAGACATAAAACATTTGATTTTGTAACTAACAAATGATAACCAAGGAAAACTGTTTCTTTGTAAATTATCTGGCACTTATTTATATAATATTATTTATACCACACAAAAAAGTGCTCAGAGAATAAAAGGATAACCAAGCAATCCATAGTTTGGCATTATGAGTAAAATTTACTGAGCTGAGCTAATTTTTCCACTAATAATTTGTTAAAGAAATTTTTTCCCGAAAAATAAGTGACACATGTCATTATCTTAAACAAAGAGCTAATAAAAGAAAGGTACAATGAATATCACCAACAGTTCTGAGCTTAACCAACAATAATGCTTTAAAAAATGAAGTATTAGATTCTTTCCCTGAAGTCATCTCAGGTCATTAACTTGAAATTATAACTAATAGCAATTTACAGCTATACAATAATTTTTAAAATACATTTGAAATCAGCAATATAAAGCTCACGTACATTAATCAAATATTTCTAAGACCTCTGTCTTATTTTTTGTTTCTCATTATAACTGATTCAATGAGACATACTGGTTGATGTTATATGTTATATTGTTTATTTCTAATCAAGCAACTGGGTTTTTTTCCCCCAATCAATTCATCCTTCCATCTTAGATAGAGAAACAGAGAGAGGGTACAGTTGTTTGAGCTAACAAAAATAGCTTACCACTATAACTTTCTACCCAGAAGTCCAACTTTCCACATTGCATATATGCATAAAACAAAATTTCAAATTTTCACATCACTACAGTATTCAGAGTCATACCAAACAATAGAATATATTATCACTTATTTAAAACATCTAACTGCCACCAAAATGTTTTTTCTCAGATCTAATCCCAACTCTAAACTAATCAAGTATCCAGTTATTTCAACCAAAGTAGAAATACCATAGTAATAATTAGCCTCAAGTGGATTATTTTCTTGCTTTATTCAACTGAAATACTTTAAAAGTTAAATGGTCGGCTATTTTTCTTCCCCATCATACTGTGTTGTCCCAAACATATCTAATTGCATTCACAAGTACACAGTATAGTACTGTCCACAGGCTAAAGAATAAGACAGCTAGCATAATGCCAGGAGCCAGGCATCTTCTTCTTACAGCAATAACAATCTTCCCTCCAACACATAAACATCACTACCTTTTAATGATTGTGAGCTACACAGACAAAAAGTTTTGATTTCCTGCAGATCCAGGTAGCACACAGCCTTTCATCTTTTCTAATAATCAGCTCTGATGTCACTGAAAAAAAAACAAATGCAAACTCATCCTGGACTCTTCAGTGGCTTACTCTAATCAAAACCTTTAACAATTTTCTTGGTTTCAAGGTATGATTTCCTTTTTATCATTGATGTATTAACTAAAGGAATCTTGCCCAATAAGCACTCCAGATAATGTGCTCAAGAAAAATAATCCCAGTATAAAATGCAATAGAAACAATTGGTAAAAAGTTACATAAAGAATACAGCATCCTTAATCTTAGCAAGATTATTGATTATAACCATAGTGAAGTTACCCAAGCAACCACTCTGAAGCATGGGCAATAACCAAATGCATCTTTATTACAGTAGCTCAATGTCTTGAAGTTTGCATAAAGATGTCAGATGTGTTCACGGCAAAAAGAAATTCCTCTGGAATATAAATGTTTATTTAATGGGCATATGACACTAGAATATAGATATCTACAAGCAAAATCATATAAACAGAACAAAAAATAAGACTAAGGCAAAAAACTAAAATTGATTAGTTAGGAGTAAAATCATTGAACTACATCAAACCACATATATTCACACAGACACATTCACTTTTGCCACAGAGCTGCAAGTGGTCTATTTTTATTTCTAAAATGTGATACACTTATGTAAGTATTATAACCTAAACATTTAGGAGGAGTATTTAAAAAGATTCCAAAATTATGATAGATAATATTAAATCAACCTGTAACAAACAAAATATATCGAATGCCCAAACTTGCTGTCATTGCTAATGACAGATTGATCTATGTCAAAATCAGCAAGAAGTGTGTGAAATCTCATTTATGTCCTTGTGTTTCAACAGCTATATGTCAATTGAGAACGTTGGATCACCTTCAGGTATCGTAGACAATCTTTGGTGATTTGGAGAATCTACAAGGCCACAAAGTTGATAGGTGGAAAACATCAAGAAAGCCAGAAGTTTCCATTTTTCAAAGAAAGTTAAGAAATTCTTACCTTTCTGTACACCAGCATGTTGGGTGATTCATCTGCCACCCCGTTGCTGGTCTGCCCATAATTATTCCCCTGGGCCATGTCACCCAAAACTTGGTCGGCTCTTCGACACAAGAATTACCAGTCTGCCCTGCAAATGGTTACAGAGACTTGAGTGAGATACTAGAGTTTGTGATAAAGAGGTTGACTCCCCGATACATCTTCATATTTGCAGCTCCACATGGAGCATGCTTACAAGCCAAGGATGGCTGGGAGGAAGTGACACAGGACATAAGATTTTAAAAATAACAACTCACACCTACAGTATCCCCAGGGAATGTAGAAATTAAAATCGTTGGGTTAGAAATAGTTATTGGCCTACGGTGTTAACTGACTTCATTTTCTATTGTACTTATTTTTAAAAGCGTGAAATGCTCACCTTAAAAACCCATGGTTACCATTTCCATAGTGCCGGGAGTTGTTTTCTCTCCCAATACTTGCATCTCCACTTGCTTGTGTTTTTCCAAGAGTGGAAAAGCAACACCCAGGGGCAGCACACTTTCTCCCAGGCATCTTTCTAGTTGCCACATGCAGGAGCATCCGAGAGGCCCATTCCCCATGTCATTCCCCGGCACATGTGCTTCTTTATTCCCCTGGGTCTCCCACACAGAGCCAGGGTATATATGCTTCGCCTACTTTTCACCTGCCTGCACTGCCAGCCACTGTCTCCTGTCCTCTCACCCCACTTCACTGGGTCAGTCCAGATGCCATTTGACTAATCTTTGAAGAAACTCAACGGAATATGTCCCAGCAACAAGAACTGATGGGAGGTCAAATCTTTAGGTAATTACCTGAACCACCATGAATAGAAACCTAACTGCTGAAGCCTCAAAGCAACCGGCGAAAGAGGAGGAAACAGGCAAGCCCCGGGTCCCCTTGCCTGGCTCTCCTAGCAGCTGCAAATGGCAGGCGCGCCTGTGCCCCGCTCGGTGAGGCACTGCTGGAGCCGGGCAGCAGTTTCAGAACCGTGGACCGCGGTGTGCGCTCAGCGCCCGAAGCCCAGCCCCGGAGCGGAGCTCCCAGGGGCGGACGCCCAGTGCCCGCGGTCGCTCCTGCTGCGCAGAGCCAGGGCTGGGTGCCGGCTGGGGACCGAGAGGACTCCGGGTGGCGCCGCCTCCTCCTCTCCCTCCTCCTCTATTTACCTTCTCGGCCAAGGTCACGGCCCCGCGGCGTCTCCCCTCTTGGGCGGGCTGAGTGCAGGCGGTGTCAGCTGGCGGCAAGCGGAGCAGCGAAGCAGGGCAGCTTCATCACACTCGGCGGATGCGGATGCCGCGCCGCCCCTGCTCTCACTACTCAGGCGACCGCCACCCTCGCCGCCGCCCGAACACTGGCGGCTCCGGCAGCCGCCGCTCGCGCCCGCTCCCCCGGGCCGCCTCGCTGACTCGCTCCCTCCTCCGCTTCTCCTCCCGGGGACTGGGACCAGTCGAGCGCGCGCGGGAGTCGAGACGCCCGGCCCGTGCGCGCGACTAGAAGGAGGGAGGAGGCGACAATCACGTGGGACAGGGGCGTCCGGAGGTGCCGGCTAGGTTGGGCTCCTCTCGGCCGCTGCCCAGCCGCTCGGGCCTCCCCAGCCTCGCTCCCCTCCAGCCCCTGAGAGGCGCGGCCCTGCCCCCGGCGCGGCCAGCCCACTCTCTCCCTCACCCCGCCCGCTCCGCTGAGGACCCGGAGATCCGAGCTTAACGCCCGGTGTAAGCCGGAAAGGAGGAAGGGCTTTGGCAATGGATGGATGGGTGGGTGGGTGAGTAGATGGATGGATGGATGGTTGAGACTCCGTGCAGCTGGCAGGTTTCATCACGTGCCTGACGACTCCGCTGACAGTACTAGGGAAGCAGATGACTGATCATTGTTATGCTTAACTAACGGTGCCCAGATATTGAGATATCCTAAAACTGGAAGGAACGTCCAGGACCAGAGGGATCATTGGGCAACTCCCCCCCCCCCCCAGTTTGCCTGAGGCTTTCACAATTTCCTCCTAAGTTGGAGAAATGGGAAAGAATTTGGAGATGCCAGCCTGGGGTGAAAAATCTTAAAATGTGTGATATTGGAGGAATATTCCTAATGCCCCTGGCCTTTTTTCAACAGAGTGGAACTTTTCTCTTGCCCACTGTCACCCTCTAGCAATATTCACTGAAAGTCTGGTATTACTGGTTCTCCCCCATTCCACATTATTGTTCAGAATGCTGCCACTAATTCTGTAAGGACGTCGAGGAAGCTATGAAAGAGGAAGGTCACTTTTTTGCCTGGGTACTATTAAAGAAACATTTGAATCCAGGTTTCAGGGGCAAGGTCTGGAAGTTATAAATACCTGAGATAGTTATCATCTGTCTGCTAGACCAGGTGTAGGGAAAGTGAGGGAGAGAGAAGATAATTAATTAAGCATGCGCCTTCTCAACCCCTTTGTCCAAGCAGAGAAGATCTAACACCAGATCAGGACTACTCTTCAAATGCATCACCATGTGTACAGTGCATTTCCTCAGGCCCTGTCACTTGTCACTCAAAGGAACAAATGTTTTTCTAACCATTCCCTGTTCTAAGTACTCCAGGATGAAGATTATTATCCCAAATGACTTCGCCCACTCCGACCCCTTGCCCGCTCTTCCCCAATTCCCCATATCTTTCAGGTGTCCAGCGAAACTCCCTGTTTTCAACTTCTCTGAATATTTCCTTAACATTCTTGCCCTGGCTAAACCTGCTTCTTGCCCTTCAGCCCCTCATTCCTTCCCTTTGTTCAATCTATTCTTGGGAAGTTGATGTAGTTCACACTAATAAATTTGGAGAGAATAATTGGGCATGTTCGCGAGGCTTCACCATTTTCATCCCAAAAGGAACTGCCTAAAGGATTGTTGATGGTCAGTTACTTTGCCAGGCAAATGTTAAGAAAGAGGATTCAAGCAGTAGCATATTTCACCATTTTTCTACTATTATCGTTAAACCTCATTATACACCTCATAATTGGTGTCACTGTATATTGGGAAAATTATGTTCATGGCCTTAACATTTCATAGACACTCATTTTTTAAATATAAATGGAGGGAATCAGACTAGATTTCTCAAAAACCATCTTAAGACTTTATTATATTCTCTTGTATTTTCTACCCATTTAATAGGAAAATTTATACTTGAAAATAAGAAAAGAAGGCATGAATATTATAGAGGGATTTTTTTTTCTTTTTGGTCTGTTTCTTGCTTTGAAAACGTGCAAATATGATGCAATTCCCAACCATTATCATCCAAAACTCTATTCCATTATTTTCCTTGTGAACCCTATATTCTATAATATTTTATTAGACAAATTATTTTCAGACCAAATAAAACTTTTGAGTAGCATTTAAAGACCAGTGACCCAAAGTAACTTAATCCCAGTCCCCAAAAAACACATTTAAAGACTTTATTTCTAAGTTCAGCAGTTTTACCTTGGGAAAAAAATAAATCGTATTTGTGTTTTTGAAATATAGGAAATAGATCTATTTTTTGTAAATCATTAGGAATATAGGCATTTCAAGTTATGACCTACTGGTGTAGATTTGTTTCTTCCCTCCTTCTTTCATTCATTAGATACTTACTCGTTTATTTTTTGTGGATGAAGTACTCTTCTATTTCTATAAAGTACATAAATAAATGTCATGAGTGACTTTTGTCCTCCAGGAGTCTCCCATGTAGTTCAGAAGATAAAGTTATCTTCTTATCACAACTCACATTAGCAGTGGTCTCCTAACTGGTTTTTCCACCTGCATCCCTTCCACATCCATTACCCACCCAGCAGCCAGAATGATCATTTCAAAGTCATCTCACTTCTCTACTTGAAATCTTTCAAGGTAGTCTATGTCACTCAAAGTAAAAGACATCTTTAAAATGCCAGCAAGGCCCTACAGTAACATGCTGTTGCCATTTCTGACCTCAGTTTGTGCTACCTTTCTCCTTACTCTGCTCTAGCCAAACTGTCCACTGGATTCTTGATGCATTTCAAGGCATGTTGCCACCTCAGGACATTTGCTCTGGCTGCTCCTCCTGCCTGGAATGCTTTTCCCTCAGACATCACTCTCTTTCTCTCTCTTTGGTTCTTCATTCAAATGACACTCACATGAGACCTACTGTATTGATCTTATATAAAATGATATAGTCTTCCTACCCTCATCTTTCTCCTTATGTGGATTTTTTTTTTCATTTCAAACCATTTATCTCCTCTAACAAAACTGTGCAATTTAACTATGACTATGTTTGTTATCTGTCTCCTAGAAAAATTTAAGTCCCATGAAGTCAGGGATATTTCCTCTTCTGATCACTACTGCATCCTTGGTGACTAAGACATGATCTGACATATTGTAAGCATTCAAGTAATGATCTGCTGATTTACTGAATGAATAAGTCCAAGAACACAATGCTGTTTGAACCACAGGATGGCTGGAAGAACCCAGCCAACAACCTTGAACTGAACTGAATTAGCACCATGTTCCACAGTGGATGGTAATGATCTGCTCTTCAAACTTGCTTCCTATGCATCATAAAGGGAAAGAACAATTCCTTTTCCCACTACACACCCACATCACAGAGGAATGCTTTGAGAATTAATTAAATGGTAACATGGAGAAAGCATTTTGATTTTCTCGGAGAAAGCACTTTATTAATTTGAGGCTTTTGATTGTGTGAAAGAATTGTAAGTGACAAAGATGAGAACAATGTTAAAAGGGAGTAACCATACTACCTTGGCCTTTCCCAGGATAATTGATTTAAAGGTGATATAAACAGGGTGAAGAATGAAATGTGGTTTTAGAATTCTTATCCCAAATGATAGATTTTTAAGCAACACTTTCTTTTTCAAAGTTAACTTTCAATAATTCACAGTATGATGTGTTCATTAATGAATTATTCTTCACATTTACAATACTTTTGTCCATTCTGTGGCCATTTTCCTGCTAATTAGAACTTCCATACCAATGTAAGAGAGCTGGAAAAGAAAAAAAAATAAAAACTAAGATTTGTCCATCTGTATTTATTTCTTATTCTTCCCTGTTGAGGTGTTTGAATTCTGATTTAGAGCACTTCCAAAATACCCAATTTGGGGGGCCTGGGGATATAGCCCAATTGGTAGAGTGCTTGCCTCACATTCACAAGGCCCTGGGTTCAAACCCCAGCACCACCACAAAATATATATATATAATTTTTTTAAATATCAAATTGTTAAGTGTGATACACTTCTCAAGTAGCTGGCAAATTAATCAAGTACATATTATGGGTAAGATTCTGAATAATGCTCAAGAAGGAGTACAAAGAGTTGCGACTTTGTTCTTGCCCTTTTGATGTGATGGAACACCACCAGAGAAGGTGTCAAAAGTTTGAGCATTAAAATCTAGGGAATATCATTGGGCAAATTATCTGACCACTCTAAGCCTGTTTCCTGAACTATAAAATATAAGTCATATTGTCTGCCTTGTTTTGCCTTGATATGCAAATTTATTTTTATTCCAAGGTGTATTAGTCAGCTTTCTATCACTATGACAAATATCTGATATAATCAACTTATAAAGAGAAAAAGTTTACTTGGGCTCACATTTTTGGAGGTTCCAGTCCATATTCGGTTGATACTATTGTTTTTAGGCCTGTGGTGGGACAGTACATCATAGCAGAAGCACGTGGCAGTGCAAAACCTCTCACCCATGACCAGGAATTGAAAAAAAAAAAAAATTAAACAATGGGAAAGGGTCTTCGGTCCCACAATCTGCTTCAAAAGGACACTCTAAATGACTAAAGATTTCTCATTAGGACCCACTTCTTTTTTTTTTTTTTAATTTTTTTTATTGGTTGTTCAAAACATTATAAAGCTCTTCACATATCATATTTCATACATTAGATTCAAGTTGGTTATGAACTCCCAATTTTACCCCAAATACAGATTGCAGAATCACATCGGTTACACATCCACATTTTTACATAATGCCCTATTAGTAACTGTTGTATTCTGCTACCTTTCCTATCCTCTACCATCCCCCCTCCCTCCCCTCCCATCTTCTCTCTCTACCCCATCCACTGTAATTCATATCTCTCCTTGTTTATTTTCCCATTCCCCTCACAACCTCTTATATGTAATTTTGTATAACAATGAGGGTCTCCCTCCATTACCATGCAATTTCCCTTTTCTCTCCCTTTCCATCCCACCTCATGTATCTGTTTAATGTTAATCTTTTCTTCCTGCTCTTCCTCCCTGCTCTGTTCTTAGTTGCTCTCATTATATCAAAGAAGACATTTGGTATTTGTTTTTTAGGGATTGGCTAGCTTCACTAAGCATAATCTGCTCTAGTGCCATCCATTTCCCTGCAAATTCTATGATTTTGTCATTTTTTAGTGCTGCGTAATACTCCATGGTGT